ATTGACAAACTTAAACAAGGTTAACAAAGTTTGACAAGTTTAAATTTCAAGGTTATAATTTTGAAGTTTTTTTATTTGTTCATTTTTTGTCATTTTTTTTTTGTTAGGTGTGTTTACACTTCGTGATATGTATGAGCAGTTTCAAAATATAATGAAGATGGGTCCTTTTAGTCAGATTATGGTATTTCTGTTTATATATATATATATATATATATATATATATATATATATATATATATATATATATATATATATATATATATATATATATATATATATATATATATATATATATATATATATATATATATATATATATATATATATATATATATATATGTATATATATATATATATATATATATGTATATATATATATATATATATATGTATATGTATATACAACCCTCGGAATTAGAGCTGGCATTCAGTAATGCCGACCTAAAAGTGTTTGAGGATCAGCAATAAATTGCAGACCTCGTTTCTATGTTTTATGGTGAGATCTTTGTATCAAATTTTTTTTTACTGACCTGATGCTGACCTCTAAAATATTGAGGTTGGCAATTATTGCCGAATTATTGCAAATTTTCCTAATTCCAAGGGTTAATATATATATATATATATTTTTTTGCAACAACCATGCCTTTTAATGTATATATATATATATATATATATATATATATATATATATGTATATATATATATATATATATATATATATATATATATATATATATATATATATATATATATATATATATATATATATATATATATATATATATATATATATATATATATATATTGAAGATTTGCTAAGCTCCTTAACGATGTATTAGGTGACTCAAAATATAAATTGTTTTCCGATTTCAGATTGTTGTTCTTTTATTTTTGTCAACATGAACTCTAATGCAATGTCAGAGAAAATTAAAGTTGCGTCTTGTTGACAAAGTGCTACAAAAGTTGTTCTAACGGGAGTCAAAAGTAAATTAGATACCATTCTACATTCCTTTTTGTTCATCATAATTGAATCATCGAAGTTGAAATCCAATTTTAAATCTAGAAGTGATATATTTTATATAAGTACAATTTTTTTTTTATTTTAACTTCACAAATCTTGTCGACCAACAAGTTGCTACATTTTGGAATCCATGATTAAATGGCCTTTCCATACTCCATTTTTACATACTTTTGTAAATAATTTTAATTTTGTTTGGGGACCTTTTAAACATTTTTACAATTTTCCTGACTTGTTATACTGGGTCCAATAATTTGGTGCCTAATTTAAACATCAGATGTTTCATTAATTAACAATCAATCATTTGAATCTCAAATATAATCTTCCTCTTCAGGGAACAATTTAATAAAAAAATAATTTAAAAAAAAAAATGTGTTTGGATAATTTCATTAATTAAACAGATGTTGAGTAAACTTTTGTAATTTAATAAACCTGTATTTCAATAACTTCATTAATTAAAGCAATGTTAAAAAGCTTTTGTTAATCACACACACAAATTAAAAAATTAAAATCACATACAAATTTGTATTTAGAATGAATTAGAAAATTCAAAATAAAATTAAGGTATTTCTTCTATTAAAATTTTTTGATCTTTCCATCAGCAAGCGCTAAAATTTTAGTTATTTTTAATAATATATTAATTTTAATATTATATTATATATACATTTTTTATATGTTTAATTGTACATATTTTGCAGAAAGAGAGAATAAAAAGAAAACATTGCAAAGAAAATAAACAGCTCCTATACCAAAGCATATTTACATTTTATGATGTACAAATTACACAAACTGTAAAATAGTACTCCATTGTGTCATAAACAGTTCTAAAAATTTTTTTTTTTAAATATTTACAGTCAATTTTTAAGAGATTTACTAAAGCACTAAAGAATGACATTTAAAACGACCTGGATTTCTGAAATTTGATTTGGAACATTGGGTTCTTTATTTGAATTATAACTATTAGTTTGTTTGCCTTTCAAGTATAAATCTTCTCTTTCTCTATGTTCTATACTTTTTAAAAAGCACTCATAGTTTGTATCCCTATTGGTGGGGTACCTTGATACAAATTTCTAATTTTACTTTAAATAGTTTCACAAGTTTAACCTGTTTTGTTTTGGTAATAAATAAATTTATTGTTGTAGTTATAAATTTATTCTACAAATTAAACCAATCGCCTAAAAAAAGGTGTATTAAAAAAATTGTCACGAAGCAAAAACTCAGAGTAAATCATGGTGACCCACTCTCTTCTGTTAAAAATCATTTTTCAATAATAAATTTTGAGTTTCAATTATCACATCTAAGTTCAATCCATCCCATCTCCAATCTTCTGCTACAATCCGCTTATGCTATAAAAACACTGTAATAAACAAAGCTGTATATTGAAATAAAAATGATTGAATAAACATTGAATAAATTTTTTTTTTCTCTTATTCTTATCGTTGTTAAAAGTATTTAAAATCTAAGGTTAATTTAATCTAAGTTTAAATTGTATTTAAAAAAATATAATAACACAGTAAGTACAATCAACGAACAACTAACATTTTAGGGATATTTTAGGGAATGATTCCAGGATTTAGTAATGACTTCATATCTAAAGGAAATGAACAAGAGTCTGTTGCCCGCCTAAAGAAGCTAATGACTATGATGGACAGCATGAATGACACTGGTAGCAATTTATAATTAAAATTTTGATTTTAATTTCATTAAATTTTTTTTAATGCAAATATACATTCTTTTTTATTTTTAGAATTGGATAGTCCAAATGGAGCAAAGTTATTTACAAAACAGCCAAGTCGTTTGAGTCGAGTAGCTCATGGTTCTGGTGTATCATCTCGAGACGTACAAGAACTACTTACTCAATATCAAAAGTTTGCACAAATGGTTAAAAAAATGGGTGGAATTAAAGGTCTTTTCAAAGGTAATTGTTTGGTTCATGTTAATATTTGTATGTATAACTTAATTGTATGTTGATTATTCATTTATATGTGTGTGTATACATACAATTATATATATATATATATATATATATATATATATATATATATATATATATATATATATATATATATATATATATATATATATACATATGTATATATATATATATATATATGTATATATATATATATATATATATATATATATATATATATATATATATATATATATATATATATATATATATATATATATATATATATATATATATATATATACACATACATAGAGAGAGAGATAGATAGATATATATATAGATATAGATATAGATACAGATATAGATATTGATATATATAGATATATATGCAGGTATGTAAAATGATGACATCTTGCATCATGTGTTGGATTAATTTAATTTATAAGCAGCAATAAGATCTATTAGAAATTCAAATTTCTAATAGATCTCACTACGCCAACAAGCGTAACCGTCTAACAATCATAACGATCAAGTTATGATTGACATGTATTGAAATGTATTTTACACAGGTAAAACACAGTTTGACTCAGATCCAAAAGTCTTAAAAGGTATATTTAAAGATTTATCCATAAAGCCTTATCTAAATGTATCGAAACGTTTGTGGTTAAAAAATTAATTTCTTAATAGATCTATTTGCTGAGAATGAGCTTTAAAATCGTGCAAATGATGTCAAACATAGTTAAGTAATAAAATAATCTTCATCTAACAACGCAGCAACCATGCCAGCATATCACTGTCATGGATTCCAACATTATCATTAAAACTTCAAAAAATCTTCCCGAAAGTTTGACTTAAAAATAGCCTTGACAAAACTTGATTTCAAAACAACTGTATAACAGGTTACACGGCTGATTTTAAATCAAGCGCAAAGGTTAAATCTTTGCCAACCTCACGCAATAAAAATAAAAGCATCTTTAGATATATATGTAATGACTCATGTATCATATTGGACCTGCTCTTGCAGCCAACCTCCAACCATTATCACATCGTCGTAATGCTGCTTCTCTTTCTCTATAATGGGCACTGCTCTAAAGAGCTAGCGTCTCTTGTGCCATCTACTAAAATTCACTCTCGTGTTACTCGTCATTCAATTAAATCTCATCCTTTTTCTGTGAGTGTTCCTAAGTGTTTTTTTTCCTCGAAATCAGTTCTTTGGAATTCGCTTCCTTTATCTTGTTTTCCTGATTCATATAATTTGCAATATTTTACGTCGTCTGTCAATAGTTTTGTTGCTCTACAATATTCATCTTTTCTCTTCCAGTAACTTCCAACTCTAATAGTGGTTGCTTGCATCCTTGTCGGCGAAGATATTAGAAAAAAAAATGTATCGATTAATATATAGGAAACCTCATTTACTTTTTTTTGTACAAGGATGTGTATGAATACATAAATACGCACGCTTGCGTATATATATATATATATACATACCCATAAATGCTATTTTCAACTAAATCGCTTTTTATACCGTCATTCGGGGCTACTTGAGCTATCCGGGGTTACTTGAACCCAAAAAAATAAAATGTTTATTTGTTTGTTTATGTTTTATAAAATGAAAGTAATAGGTATGAAAGGTATGAAAGTAAATAAGTTAATTATACACTTACTCAAATTAATTAACATAAAAAATAAAAAAGGGTTAACTTTTTTTGCAAAAAGTGATCAAAAAATATTATATTTAAAGGAAACGACAATAATGGTAAAAATTTAGTGTAAAACCTTAGTCTGTCTAGACATAAAAAAGATAAAAATTATTTGACATTATTTCCTAAAAGAAGTATCAGTTACTACAAAATGTAGCAATTATATTTGTCTTTTAATTTTATTATTTTGATAAAAAGATTATTTTTATGTTTGAAGTTTAAAATTGGGGCTACTTGAACCCAAATGTCATTGTAGCAGCTTGTGTTCGAAAATGATTAAGTTCACATTTCATTAACATTAAACTCCAAAGTGAAATAATATATTTAAAAGGAGTTGATTTGTTATTTTAACCATGTTTTTAATATTTGTTAGGTTATAAAATGTATACCTAAATAATGTTGATAATTTGTTAAAGCTATTGTTATACACCTTTTTGCGTATACTTCGAAAAACTAACGAGAGTCTGCATATCGATACTTTGGGTAACTACATTTTTTGACAAAATGACTTAATGATGGCATTTTGTCAAAAAAACCCAATTTGCATATTAAAGTATCGACATTTTATTTTAGGTGGCGATATGGGTAAAAATGTAAACCCGTCACAAATGGCTAAATTAAATCAGCAAATGGCAAAAATGATGGATCCAAGAGTTTTACATCAGCTAGGTTTGTAAATATTCAATATTTTATAAATACTTTTTTTTCAATTGATGCAGTTTCTTATTTGCTATTTAAATAACAGGAGGTATGGGAGGTCTTCAAAATATGATGAAACAATTTCAAGCTGCACCCGGTATTGGAGGAGGGACAGGAGGAGGTTCAAAGTCCAGAAAGAAGTAATTTTAAGTTACATTAGTTACGGCGGATATGTAACGCTAGAAGTTTTACAAGCAAATGGCGGTATCGTGTAAAAAATAATAAATGTTTCTAATTGTATTGAATTTTCCATATTATATACTTATCTTTTTTATTTATTTCTCTCTTATTTTTTCATACAAATACTTTATTAAATATTTTATATTGCAAAACGTTATTTAAGTTAATTTTGGTTAAGAATTAAAACTTTCGAATGGTGCCGTACTATTATCAATTTTTAAAATTAATTCATTTTTTTCTCTGAAAATAATGAAAAGTTTTTTTAAACTTTATATTTGCGTCTATGACAGATAAAAGGTTTATTGGAGTTTTAGTTAACTTTAAGACACCATAGAGTTGGATAATATGTGCGTTTTAAAAGCAGTCGTACGTAATCGTAAAACTGATCAACATATCAGTTATTATGATGCATTAGTTGCGTTAGCTCTATTTGTTAATTTGTTTTAAGTAATTAATTTATCGCTACAAATATCATTAACAAATCGGAAAATATGTTCAATACCCTATATCATCCATATAGAAAACCATTTAGACAACCCGATATAGCCACATAACATCGATATAGAAAACCACTTGGTCAATAAAAAAGAAAGTTTAATTTTCAAGTTGCATAAACATGATAAATCTGTTGACTCCTTCGCTATTTTATAGCAGAAAATTAGAACAATGTAGTATTTAGAAAGAATTTTTTATATCCTGTGCAAAAATGTCTTTATGGGCAAAAACTAACGTATTAACGCTGCTTTAAATTGAACAGAAGTGCTGAAAGGCATTATATTTTTATGTTTAAAAAAAATTAAAGGATCAATGTTGTGAGCAAAACGATCGATAATTTTAAAACCTCAAATAATATGTTACGTCGTGACTTTTAATATGTTACGTCGTGACTTTTCGTTAAATTGTTCGTTAAATATTTTTTTATCTCGTGGATAAAAAAATATTTAACGAACAATTTTTTAATACAAAATACTTTGATAATGAAACTTATAAAACCCTATTTAAATCATGTAAGGAAAATTTTTTTGTCATACACATAAACATAAGAAGTATTAACATTATTAGAGCTTATTCTAAGAAAAAATTCCTGCACCTAGACACCCAATAGCATGGTGGGTGTCTTATTTTACAAAAAATATTTTTCTCCTAGTATCATGTTGGACCTCAAAAGAAGTGAAATTTTATAAAGTTTTCATAAATAACATTTTTTTTAAATGCATTTAATTTTTGTAAATCTAAAAGAAAAAAAAACATTCTAAAAAGTGTGCGTTTTCTTTTTAATTTTTGTTTAAAAGTGTTAGTTTTTCTTACCATAAGCTTTAACCAACTGAATGTTAATTAAACCTTTTCCAACTTGATATACTTTTGGAAAGAAGTATTTTTGGTAATAAATGGAACCCACCACAAGTGTTTTGGTGCAAGAACTAATTTTTGAGTTAAACGAAATTTTCTTAATCAGTATGAAAATAGTCATTGATTCCTACTACAGACCAAAAAATTATTTTTTTGTCATGACTGTAATGAACACATTGGATGCGAGTTTGATTGCAAGAAATTTTTTTTTGAGTTCCAATCGTGGAAAATAAGTTTATCGTACGAAATGTTAGCGTATTATCCAGCCTGTTGTTCAATTTTCATTCTGTCGCTTAGTTTTTCGTATTAAGTTCGTTTCTGTACAAAAGTCTTGTATGCATATGTAGGATATGTAGATGTTTTTGAGCCTGAAAGAATTTTTGAAAATGCTTTTGAGCTTGAAAGAATTTCGGAGAATTTTGGTTTTGTCTTGGAGGCCTAAAAATTTCCAGACAATTGTTCTGTATTTTTTGTTTTCGTCTGTTCCTGTCCTATCGCTCGTTAATTTTCACATTATGAACCCCTAAGAAATAGTTAAACATTTTTTTTAACTTTTACCTTACAGTCATTCTTTTGCTTTTTCTTACAGTTAAATTTTGCTGTCGTTTTCAGGGATACTATCAATCCTTAGGTTGTTACGTTGTAATCGATCTTCAATCTCTCTAAGTTGGCTGTTTATACTTGAAAGCTCATCGCCGTTGTTATTTGATTTGATAATCGATTCTTTTTCTTACTAGAAATGGAATCGAATGCGGTTTTAATTTTTTTATTAGATATAAATTTAGATGGAAATTTAAGCGATTTAAAATTAGATTTTTTTAATTTAAGATTAGATTTTTTTAATTTAAGATTAGATTTTATTAATTTAAGATTAGAAATTTAAGATTAAAAGGAAATTTAAGCTAACTTTGATTTCACCAACTTTCTTTGTAATTTATTTTATTTAAAATATTCAAATTTATCCAAGCGATTGTTTTCGTTTAAACTAACGATATTAACAAAAGTGTTCTTCAGTCATTTCATTATTTCTTTAGTCTCTGTTTTGAACTTCGTAAGCATTTCCTTAATCAACTTTTTGACTTCCTCTAGCATAATAGACATGATTAACAAATATTTAACAGACTTTTTACAAATATTTATACTTATAAACACAAACAGAACAATAATATACAGTTTATTTACAGATGGATTCCTAATGATATTTTATTTTAATTTTAATATAGATGACCAATGATAATCTGTAAATAGGTTTATATAAATATAAGCATACCATGTGTACATAGTTATAAAACATTTATTAAGACATATTTCTATTTTATAATTTATTTTTTAAATTCAATAAATCAGTTTACATGAAAACTTTTCAAAGTGTATTAGGATTAATATTTTTTTTATATTTTGAAAAAGTGTCTACCTTTCTTATAAATTAAAAATTTGTGGGGACCTCAAGGATTGAAGATTGAGAGAGATTGAACAAGGTTCAATCCTTAGCTCTCTCCTATTTCTGGTATATATAAATGACATTTCTGTAACGCATTTTTAAAATTAAAATTAACTTTATAAACTAAGTATAAAAAATGCAGCATAAATATAAAAATATCGAAGACCTAAGATATAAAACAGCTTTAAAATAACCATTTCAATATAGTGAAATGAGTAAATTCATTGAAGTTTTCAGAGCCGTACGCAGGATTTTTTTGATGTTTCAGATAGGACACTTCCACACATTGTGCAAACTCCAAACTTAAGTATGTTCATACCTATGCCAAATAAGGAAGCCTAGGGAAAATTTGGGATAGCGGAGACCTGAGAACAAAAAAGCCCCAAAACTTTTGCAACCCCCTGCCCAAACGTGAGGGCACTAATGTAATAAAAATTTTAACTTTACTATCTTAAACTAAATTTAAATTTATAGACAGATTTTAAATTTCATTGAAAAATACTGTAAATTACAAAAGTTATGACTATGCAAAATTTACACCTCGCTCATTTTGAGGGGGTTGGAAAATTTGGATTGTCATAACTTTTGTAATTTACAATATAATAAATAGATATAAGATATATAATAGATATATATATAAATATGTCTTAATAAATGTTACAATTTTATCTTACTTTACATTTGTTAAAGCCCACATAAGGATTCTATGGAAAAATTGCGGTGTAGTATATACATAATAAAATACAGTTACGTAATGAATAAGAAATAAAAATGTTTATGTAATTGTGGTGATGTGGATTGGATTTTAAATACATTTTGTTATAGAATTTGCAGTTTGCGTATAATTTTGAGGGTGTTTATGTTCAAAATAGTTTTTTTAATAATTTGTTTAATTTCATTACTATATTTTTACGTATTTCAAGTTATTTTTAAAGATATCTCCTAAATTTTTTTTATTTTGAATATCTATTGAAGATATATAAAAATATTTCCCCCTGATTTTTATTTCAGTTATTAGGAGTCATTCCGGCCATTATAGGAATTAGGGTGGATAACGTTAGAGAAAAAAAAGAATCCACATTCAAGATATAAAAAGGAGGGCATAAAATTATATGTTAGTTCAAATCTTACTGGTGTTTACAATATACAATTGTTATAAGTCAATACATTATACACCTTTTTTATTTTTTAGGCATTATAAGCCCCTGATTTCTTTCTGATTTTTATAAAATTCAAGAACATTTTTATAATTGTTCCGTATTTTTTTTGATATGAATTACTTGATTTTTATCTAATTTTTGCTGATCCTACAGACAGCTTGAATTAAACAATTATTTTTTTAATTGGGAGAACGTTTAGTTTTTATTTAATTTTGTTTACAAAATTTAACATCGAATCTTATTATATTCATCTGATTTTTTAATTTTTTATAATTTTACCTTTGTATAAGACTTAGATTAAACTAAAATATGAAAATACTTGAAGGGAGAGGGAGATTTTTCCTATTGGGTACGTAAATTTGATAGTAGAACAATTTCTGTCAAAGGGAAAGATTCCTTTAAAGAATGAATTGAAATAACATATCAGTACATTGTTAGAGAAAATGACGAATTTATTAAAAGATATATGAATATACTGAACGAGATGATTATGCTAAGTTATTTTAATATCCACTATATCGACTAATGGATTCATTATCAATCAACAAAGAAGTGTGTAAAGGTCTGGAAGAGGTTAAAATTTATTTATCGACTTATCAACCATAATATAAGAAATAACTTTTTTAAATTCTACATTTAGTTTTTTGAGATGCTTCCATTTTAAGATGCTTCCATTTAAAAATAGTGTATGATTTTGATTAGATAATTTTTATTTCGCGTAAAGCACAAAACTTGTGTGTGCACTTTTTTTCTTTGCTAAATTAAATTGCCAATTAAACTAATATATTAAAAAAAGTATCAGAGTTTGGTAAAAATAAAAGTTTTTATAAAATGAATAATTTACAAAGTGCTACTTTAAAATCTTTTGAAGCATGTTATAAGGATTAAGGAATTGTATTAAAATGAAACATTTTCCTTCTTGTATTTGTCACAAATTCACAGATGACATCATTAAATGATAAACTGTATTTGATATATGTTGGTGATAATATTGGGATCCACGGTATTTGATATATGTTGGTGATAATATTGGGATCCACGGTATTTGATATATGTTGGTGATTGTATTGGGATCTAGGGTAGTAAGATAGTTAGCATGGTTTTTTTTGCCAACACAAAGTCATTGAAGACATAGTCAAATAATAAA